TCTAAGATACTCGGCCGCTCCAAGCCTGTGTGGAAGAATAAAACGACCTACTAGAGTATTTCCTACAATTCCCATCCAAACGTTTAAACTGAAATTATATTGACATCTTGAAACAGTATTTTCTTCCGACCATGAATAAACATTATGAAGGTTTACTGCACCTACTCTAGGAAAATTTGCTTCAACGGTGAAAAGTATATTCATTAGGAAATTTAAGTCATGCCTGGAAATATTAATGTGCCATTGACAAAAATCCAAGCGGTTAGGTAAATCAGGGTCACTCAATTCTTGCACGGGTTGATGGTGAAAAGGGTATAAAATATTTTCATGAGCTACATTCCACACAAGACTGTGAGAAACTTGCAGTTGCCTGGACACCTGTCTTGTGCTTGTACCACAGTCTTGTTCTAATGTTCCAGTATAGCTTCCTCAATTTCAACAGTTACGTCTTCCTCCGGCACCCTCACGATTGGACTGAATTTTACCAGTTTCGCGAAGCCTTCTTTCCACCGAGACCAGTGTTTGTTTATGAGGAACCGGTCAATTTGGATATCTTTGGTGGTATAACCTTACTGCAGCGTTACTAGTTTTTCTGGATTCGAAAAACACTTGGAGTATGTCGACATATTCGTCATTGATATAAATATTATTTGCCATAATTATTCTGATAATAAATTAATCAATTGGTACTAATTATTGGTTGAGCGAAAGTGTCAATTTATTATATGAAAAATAACAATTTATTTGTTATGACATCCGCCTACTTTATTTTTACAAATTTTCGCAATTACCCCTTTAGTTAACGATGACGCATCTAATTTTTTTACTAGACTTTTTTATCAGATATGAATGAGCGTACCCAAAATCATATGTTTCTGATACACGCTCTATTTAGATACTGGTTTGAGAAATGTTTTAAAAGCAAAATATCAACATTTAAGTTAGAATTTAACCTCGCTTCATGATATAAGTATTTCCATTAGCATATGCAATAATGCTTGAATTGAAATCACATTGAAGAATTTATTTGAAAAAAGAATTCAATCATTTCTGTTTTTCCAGACATTTTAATTCCTGTGAAATATGAAATAAATATTTTATTTTATATGTCACCATCTTCCCTACCTCATCAATCCCTGTCACGTATTGTGCATCTCAATATAAAATATTGTATTTTCCACGCTAAACATGTGTGGGAAATGATAGGCGTCTAATACTCGACATTTTTTTGTATGGAGAAGCATAAATTTCTTAGCTTAGAGGATTTGAATATTCCCTAAAAAATATACAGCTCGAATAAACTGTGTCACGTAATACATTCCAGGAGATTCTTACATAACATTAAATTCAGAGGTTTATTTAATTTCGCCCCCACGTAAAGCGAGCTTTTTAGGTCAAATCTTCCGGTATACACACAGATATGTAAATATGTACCTATTTCGTAGTAGATTCTATCTTTGACAGTATTTTGTCTAACATTACAGACAACTTTTTTCTCGGTAAATATTAATTCTTTTCCGAAATATAAGATTCTTTTCAGGAAATATGATTTTAAGAGAACAGAAGAAATGGCACGCCGCTGGTGTTAAATTTAAGTAATCTATAACATTCACTAAACTATTTGTCAAGTTAATCATTTAATTTATATAGCTAGCAATTAATATCTATAAATTTATTAAAAGTATTTTGTGCAAGGATATATAACGTTTATAGCATTTACAACAAAACCTTCACTAATAATCGGTTTACTTACATCTTACATTTATTTTAAATAACTATTTTGAAAGTATATTAAAATAGGCCTCATTATGATGTATCTGAATTCCACATCCTTTATATTATAATTTCAACGTCCTACACAAAAATTCCTGCATTTGCAACGAAAGTTGCCTCATTGAATTGAGGATGTCAAGATTCCCCTCTATTGCAGTGAAAGTCACATTCTATGTGTTGGAGATGTTTGTGTGATCTTATTTTATAAGTTAATCGTTGACAGCAATGAAATAAACAGCTGATGAGCGTGTTGGATATATTTTCTCCATCTCTTTTTTCATTAACAGCTGTGGAAGATGTTAGAACCTATGTGCTTGTTTCCCTGTCGTAATATATATGTGATTTTACTAACATAATGAAACACATGAAAGAGCCTGTTTCGGGAAAAAAATATACTATTAGAAGTTTCTCTGCGGAATATTGTTCGGAAACCTGTTATAAATAAAATATCAAAAAATCAACTCGAGGCTAGTTGGAAAACTTTGTTTTAACAGTGGTCAAAGTTATGGAAAAGTGGTTTTTGACTCACGTAAAAAAGGTATTATTCATAGCGAAAAAAAGTTTATACAAAAAAGGTAGGTAATAAGCCTATAAAATGAAAAAAGTTCGATTAAATTCCGATACTATGTTTATGTACAAAAATGGTCGAAAATTGCCGTTTTTTCAATTGCTAATAATTAATGCAATTTTCATCGCAGACACTTGTAATTTAGGATTTTTTAGGCTTTTTACACCCTTAATAAATGGTAAAAATTTCAGCTCGAAAGCTTCATTGGTTTGGTGTTGGCGGAATTTGTTACCTAAGAAGATGCTATTTTCAATTCATTTTTCCCAAGCTCACAAGCGCGAAATTTGGAGAGAATATACATTAAGAGCTATATTTTCATGTCCTACATTAACATTAAGGTGAATTCAACTATTTAATTTCGAAAAAGAAGATAGCGACGATGCGTTCTATTGGTCTAGCGAACGAGTGGGGAAGGCGAGGCTTAGCATGCGCCCTTAACGATGCAATAAATATTAACATTTTTTCAAAGTCATTTTTAAACAAATTAAATTTGAAAAATTAAATTATCAGTAACTGCATATGTCAATACAACTATTTAGGTACAAAAACAACTAATGATCGAAACCCTACAACGACTGTGAGCTTGGGAAAAATGAATTAAAAATAGCATCTTCTTAGATAACAAATTCCGCCAATGCCAAGCTAATGAAGTTTTTGGGCTGAAATTTTTACCACTTATTAAGGGTGCAAAAAGCTTAAAAAGTCCTGAATTACAAGTGTCTGCGATGAAAATTGCATTAATTATTAGCAATTGAAAAAAGCGGGCAATTTCGACCATTTTTGAGCTCTTGCGCATAAACAAATTATCGGAATTTAATCGGACTTGTCTTATTTTACAGATTTATTTAATACCTACCCTTTTTGTATAAACATTTTTTTCTCTTATCAAATTAATATTACAAAAAATTACTTCTACACAAAAAAAAATAGGAACTATATTATTGTAGTCTGACACATTGTATGAAAAGCTACCACAATGAAGTGTATTATGGTCTAAATTATAATTTTTATTGCAGTAAAATTTAATATATATTTATTGAATTCTACTATTTATATGTCTATGTTATAGTACAATATGTTACAATAATACATTTTACCACATCCTTGCATTTTTATTTAAAATTCTTTTAAGAAAATTTTCAAAAAATATCGAGACAAACTTGACTGAAGACTGAGCAGTATCAATTTTTTGTTACATGCGTGGTTTTGTCGCATATGCAGATAAGTGATGTCAGTGGTATTAACCTGGTTATGAATAATACAAAACAAACTGCAATAATCTATAATAATCTTTAGTATAGACATATTATTATAAGAGTCCTCATATAAAATTAGTAAATATTTATGACAAAATAATTTAAATAAACAAATTTTTACAATAATGTGGCAGCAACGGCAAAAATTTTAGATGTTTCCGTACAAAGTCTATGAAATTTTGTCTCGTAAGAAAACTGCAAGCAACTGCGCCATTTTTTGTCCAATTTTAAGAAACAAAAAATAGTTTTATTGGCTCTGAAAATGTTGCAGACTGGCATTTGATATCATATTTTTCCAACGCTTTTCTAAACGATAGACGACTGCCAATCTTTTTTTAAATGAAAATAAATAATATATTTTTAATTTATTAGCTAAATATTTTTTCCGAATCAAACGATGTTTACCTCAATTTTTGCCAAAAATTTACGATAAAAATATGCAAAATTATATTAATCTGAGCGCTCCAACAGAACTGACTGACAATGGAATATGTTATTAATTTGTTATGAACTAAAATAAAACGATCTGAGTTTCACGTATGCTTGGTATTAAAAATAAGAACATCTAAACATGTTTATTAAAATGCATATAAAAAGATCAAGGCTTTTATCCTTTGACTGAACTGTTTTTCGAAGCAACAATATATTAGTAGTTCTTACAGAGGCCAAAGTAAAGTGAAAAGTTCACGCTTTCCCCCAGAATAGCTCAACTTGAGTTTGGCAGTTTTGAAGCTTTGTAATATTGAGGCGGGAAGTGCTAAACAACTATTGTAGTTTATATTTAGTTTACTGATTAAGGCGTTAACTCATGTTTCACCCTCGATTTTACTCGAACTTGTTGTAAAGACTAAAACACAAGTTTTAATCCTTCACAACTTTGCAAAGAGATGGTATGAACTTAAAACAATTGCACATGTCTTCCGATTATTTATGTTAAAAATAGTCTTATCTAGATTTATGAAGAACGACGTCGTACTATTTATACAGAGGCAAATAAATAAATAAAGTCAAAATATTTGACATAAATATATTTACATCTTTAGGTAAATTGAAAGACAATGGCTTGGGGTTGTAAATTTATATGTACTATTTTTCTACATAAAATATAGCCCTTTTCATAATACTTACGAAACTGTTAAAATTTATTACTCACCTAACTAATATAGTGTAGCAAATAATTTTTTGTACACCATTGTTCACTTGGTGACACTCATTGCTTAATTAAACAAAAATATAAAAATATACCTTTTTTATTGCTTTGTTTTCAGGCAGAATAAATAAGATTAATTACACAAACCTTGATATTCTGATGTTAGTTAACAGAAAAGTCTATTTGGCTTTAATATAATCAAATAAATCGAAAACCAGGAAATAATATTTAAAAATTAAAAGTAAATACTCACCGACTGTTTATTTCTCCAAACGTCATACAGTGGATGTTTACAGAGAGCTGAAAAAAAAGAATCCTTCATGAAAACGGCAAATATTTATTAGTTAATTGTTAGAACAGAGAGTAAATTTTGACTCGATCCTTGAAAGTAAGTCGGAAGTCACTTTACAGTTGTGTAAATTAAACTTGAAGGAACATTTAGTGTGGATTTCCTAGTTTTTAGAATTTATTACCATGCAGTTGTTATTTTACAATGGGAAATAACTGTGGTATATCATATGAAGTTATTGTCCCCTGAAGCGTCGACACAAATTTTTAATATTCCGTTAATTTATGCAAAATTAAATAATGAAACTGCCACTCCCACATGACAAAAATAGGATTGTTTAAAATAAATACCATGCCGCTGTTACCACAAAAGTTATTTGCATAATATTTTTAAAAGGAAATCTGCTTGATCAAAAACTAAAGAACTATGTCGTTTGTTCGTTTTGCATTACCTGTCGAAATAATGACAATTTTTTAAGCAGTTCTACTTATATACTCACCGCTGGTACAGTCGCGAACTAACTGGGGAACGTAATCTAGCAATAGATATTTGGGAACCATAAAGTAAAGATAGTATTACTTGGTAAAATATAGTAACAAATCAAATAAACTAACAGTTCTGAACGACAGGTCAAAAACCAATGAAAATATTTCTAGAATAGCACATACAATATAAAAATGACATAATAATCATGTGATCCAAGAAATATGCTTTATCCACGATGGGAAATATCGACAATTTCCAATAGGTATATAACGTGTGTGATACCAAGAAAGAGATAGTCATATAGAGAAAATGTACAATTTTATGCGAAATTCAATCTGTCTGAAATTTGATACGTTTATAGTTAAAAAAAACTTGAAAAAAGGAAATTGTAGGCTTTTTATTTTACCATGTAGTTATTTATTATGATTCTAAAATATAGAGTGTTAGAAAGTTTAACTGCCTTAATTTTAACAGACGGTAGAATACATTAAAATAAACAAAAAAACCTTATATGACATGGGTCCTAAACTCAACCATTTCCGTGAAAAAAAATTATCAAAATCTCTTGATGTACAAAAGTTCGATTAATTAAGGAATATTGACATAACTGCATTCATAGAATACCTTTTTCAACTTCTTTATGCTTAATTCTAAAAAATAATTAGCGTTTTAAAAAATTTAAAATTCGATAAAATTCATATCGAGCAATGTGACAACAGCGCAGCGGATAACACGAGGTACTAAACTGTTCAGCAATACGCAATTCAGTTGGTATCTGGAATTGGACTGTGTTTGAATGTATTTTGCGTACCACTTTCCTTTTCTTGAGGTGTTTTCCAGCGAGTTCGCGAAAATTGGAATCGAAGGTGTCGTGCGTGCAGTGAAAATAGTGGTGGGCATTTTTAGCATATGTTGTAGTTTATTTTGTACTTGTGCGTTTAAAAATTAGTGAATTTTGCTTTTTGATAGATACTTAAATTATTTTTACTACGTATGATTGTTTGGACGACGTGAATTTTTGGGTACTTTAATTACATATTTTTCAAATTCATGATTTGATTAAGTTAAGTTCCTGAAGAGATCCATGATTACTAAAATTCGAGCTAAAATTTAAGCACAACACTATCTTCGCACTACAAAATCGATATATTTTATTTTTATTTAAAAACTGGAAAACGATTGTCTTGAAATTTACTAAATGTTACACAATAATAGTTCTTTACATTTTTTCCGTAGGACAAGTCTGCCGCGTGCACACGTGGTATGCATCAGATGTTTAGCGTCAGATTAAGCGCTGTTGTCACGTTGTGATGAAACTCCCCAATATTAATACTCGCTGTATTTTGAAAACTGTTAATCCTACGCCTCTGTAATATACAACCTTTTTGTTCATTTATGATTACTCTATCTCATGCTGAAGTAATGGCAGTAAAACTTCTTACACCCTGTATATTATCCAGACACTTTATAAAGATGAATTCCAAGGCATAAGGAAAACAAGTTAATTTTATAGAGAGACCACCAATCTGCAGCTTCCTTTGAATCATTGCTCAAAGTAACAAGAAACCGTTCTTATTCAAGCAATCCTTGGAAGTAAAAGACAACACATAGCATGTGTGAAACGGAGACTTCATAAATGTTTACAATCCACATGACCACCGAGTTTAGGCAACCAATATTGCACGGTTGGAACTGTCAACTAAAAATTACTAAATCTTAGGGTCACCAATATTAATGATTCGTTTACAATGAACAATAACAAACCCTTACGACTACGCTCGAAATAATGCGATCGTTGATTGATTGAATACTATCCCGTGAAAAATTACATCAACAACAGCCGATCAAACAGATTGTTATGTTTTAATGTAATCTTGACGGTCACATGGCTTGTAATCATTTATGAAAGTTCTGTATAAACAGTCTTTTTGTTAAGGATATTTAAAAGCTTCCTTACACTTTAGCACGTTGAATACAATGAATTAAAAATCGTATTCATATTTTAATTTAACTTTAATTTAAATAAAACCGTACGCCTCCAAATTAGTCGGTTCTGTAGTTAAACAAGATATTCATGAAATACTCGTACAGACATCGGTGATTATTCTCTTGTAATCGCGATCAAAAAGAGATTTAGAAATATTTATGTCGGCTGCCTAATGAAACGTGAATCTCTTAAGACCACCTCCCATTAGGCTTATTTGTGAGATAACTTTTAATACCGGTGTGGGATTTGTCTGAAATTTCATACTGCCGCATGCCTCAGGATTACGTGACTCATACGGCGAAAAATCCAATATTTTCCACACCAAGTTATTCGAAACTGTATTAAAAATTCCGCGCGCGATAAATCGACACATTTCGTACGTTTTGTAGACATATTTCGACAATACCCGCATGATCATCAACAACCATGTTATGACGATCACCCATATCCAAACAAATTCGTACGAAATTGAAGGTATTCATTTAATTTACTCGACGTCCGACTCCGCGAAATACAAATTAATTCCGTCTAGCAATTTATTCTCTTCTGGCTTCGAATTGAATTGGGAAATCCGTGTACTCTGATAGAAAATGAGAAACTTCGGACCAGATAAAAACCGTAGTAACCACAAGAGAAAACCAACATCAGAATTTCAAAGAAATAAATCGGATGAAGCAGTAGATAAGTGTAATTAAAATGGAAATGGTACAACGCGGATGAGATGGAAATGGAATGCCAGCAATTTTTCTAACGAATCTTCTGGGTCTATGTACAGGTCATCTATTATACAGGGTGATTCACAAATGGTGACCAAAAATGAAACCTCGTATTTTTTGGTGAATTTCAAGGGGAGTCTTTCCTATCTAGAACGCTTCGTTAGAAAGATACAGGATGCTAAACTTCAAAAAATATTTTTAATTTTTTTAAATAATTTAAAAACTAGTAAGTGAAATAATTTGAAATTGGGCACATGTATTTATGTAAACATTGTCCAAAATCTGAGGACTTTTCCTAAAATTTACATTATCCAGTGGCGGAGATGCAGGGTATCGGTGGTATATTTTTCTAAATAAAATAGTACGCCACTGTTTTACGGTAACAAACATGATATTTTCAGATTCGTCTTTCAATTTTCTACAAATTACTACTCCCTTATGTTTTTCGAAAAAATCCTGATTTTCGAGTAAAACCTAAAAAACGAACTGAGAACACACTTCGATATTCGAATATAATGCTTTTTAAAATTACAGTGTTCTGCTTTGACATTTTGAGCAGTTAGAAGAAATAATAAATAATGCTTTTCATCAGATTCAAGCAACAATAAATTTCGAACAAATTACATTTTCGTTACTAAAAAGATGTCGGGCCTGTGTTCGTGGAAATGGAGGTATTTTTGAGCATTTACTCAAATAAGAGCATTAAAATGATGACTAATGTTATTAATTTCTCTATACGAATAAATAACCGAATGATTAGTGTCATAGTGTCATGTCATTTAAGTAAAAGTGTTTTCAGTTGGTTTTTTAAGTTTTACTCGAAATTCAGGCTTTTTTACATAAATACAATGTGCCCAATTTCAAATTATTTCACTTACTAGTTTATAAATTATTTAAAAAATTAAAAATATTTCTTGGAGTATAACACCCATCCCTATATCTTTTTAACGAAGCCTCCTAGATGAAAACTTTATAGGAAAGATTCCCCTTAAAATTCACCATGAAATACGAGGTTTCATTTTTGGTCACCATTTGTCACTCTGTATTTTGACCATATGGTAAATATACAGGGTGTTTGTAAATAAGTGCGAAATATTTAAGGGGATGGTTGCCGAAGTTATTTTATGAATAAAGTTCATATAAAGGTAGGTCGAAATATGCTTCGTTTCCGAGATACAGAGTGTTTAAATTTAAATTTAATTTTTTTTTTATTAATTATTTCAGAGTTTAAAAGATATTGACTCGAAATTTGAAAATCACTTTATAGACATAAATGTGATTTTTTTGGGGTGATCCGAATATTTCTACTTGCACCAGTGGCGCTCGTACGAAATTGCTACAACCTTTTTTAATAAAAAAATGGTACGCAACTGACTTTTTTCCGTTTTAATATTTTTTTTAGTGATCCGCCATCAAAAGTTGTGTATTTTTAATTTCTATTGATACATTATCTAGTAGGTTGTTGTCAATATTTCTAAATAAAATACAACCATCGAATTTCGAGTTTTTATGACAATTTATTCAGATTTAATACCTAATTCTGGAAAAACTGTAAAAAATACGATAAACTCTCAAGAGGGAAAAAGATCCTTATTTGTTTAACAAAATATGAAATTATTTTATTTTGACTTCAGAAATTTATGGTGTAGTTCCAGGGTATATAAAGCAATCGAATAAAAATAAATAACTAACTAAAATTATCGCTACGGCAAACTGACGAGAACTTAGAACGTTGCTCTTGTCTTATGACAAAGATTTGATATATATTTATTTACTGTTTTTTTTTACAAAGAGGTACCTAGGTATATTGTGATAATCTTGT